CGATACGCATTAATCTCGGCGCGCTTTTTGCAGACGGGTACTTATTGCGTGCGACGGCGCTCGGGAAAATGTTATTGATTAATCGAGGAGTCGCCGGAGGGGGGAGGGGGCGATGTAGGCCGTGTTTAATTGTAATTTATCGGGCGAAGGGACGCGCCTTCCGCAAACGTGTTCGAGCTTCGAACGCGGAGAAAGGAAACGGCGGACATTTTTAGCGTTACATCCTTTAATGTCTTACATTCTGTCATCAATTTTCGGCTCTCTCGCGATAACAACCGGCGGATACACACGACAAGCTTGACTTTTCGTCGCCGAACGATTATTCGTATTAACCTCCGGATGTCGGCAAAAAAGCTGCTCCCGGACGTTTCGGCAACGCAAAAATCGCAGTTTGATCCCGCTGAAAGTGTCAACTCGCGTCGCTCGCGTGAATCATATTTCCGAAAATGCGGATCCTAATTATACCGCCGACCGAAGCGAAACATTAAGGCACACACATACATACACAGAGAGATGTGTTAGCAGTGAAACTTAAGCGGTAAGTAAATTGACTAATCACAGCTGACTATTCTCCATCCGAAGAATAATCGACTATACGGGAAAAAAAAGAATCAGCTTCCACAGAAAAAAGCTAACTTTCACGATTGAAAATTAGCTATCCATATATGATACAACTGAAATTCAGTTGTAAATCTCGTTTATTCAGTTATCAGATTTAGCTTTTAGCTGTAGCAGCTAATTTTTATGACTATTTTCTGCATGTGATCGGTCAGTTTCCTTAATTTTCTTACCGCTTAGGTATTACATTTTTGTGTGTCCTGAAAATTTTTGCTGAATTTGGTCTCCTACCCCGCGATTTTACACACAGGATTCGTAAGCACCGCACTTCTCGAAGCTCGGAGGACAGTGTCGACGATTCTCGTCAATGCTTCAATGTTCGAGATAAAATATGTCCGCCAAGTGAAATTTCACCTGAGCAAACCGATCGGGAGTCATAAAGTTTTGCACATGAAACTCAAACCGAAATTAAATCTCCGCTCGACAACGGCCGTAAAAGAGTCGCGCCGCATACTAAGTAAGCGCGAACAAATGAATACCGCGGTATCGTAAACCGGCAAGTTCCGCCGGAATTAATTTCACGAGCGAAGATTTTGATCATTTCTCGTGTCTACGCAACGGCCACGTGATCAGACACAGCGATCTCGGCGATTTATTTGTTCGGTGAGCCGAACAAAGGTCGGCAACGAGACAAAAGGAGATCCTCCTGCTTACCGGGGAACCAGCCCGCGCACGCGGATCATCGAAAGCACATGGTCGCAAGCATGGTATCGGTGGCGGTTTTACGACGGTAAAACGAGTTCTCGCATGCGAGTGCACCGAGAAAAAGAAAATAATCGATTACACAGTAAAAAATGCTATGCTGCAAACAGTCCGACGGCGAACTTTTGCGGCCGTCGCCGAGGAAAAGGGTTGAAAATATAATAAATACAATCAATTTCACCGTGTAAAATATTTTACAGCCGCAATTGGCAAGCACCTCTCTCTCTCTCTCTCTCTCTCAACGTATCTCGCGGTTTGCAAGTCGCGGAGATACGCGCGCGCGACGAGAGTACTCGCGGCCGGTACTCGCGCTCGCGCTTGCACTCGACGGCAAATATAAACTTCGCTGCTGCTGTGTACTTACTTAATATGTATCCTCCCGCGGAGTATGTACGTGTGTAAACGCGCGTGTCGCTTAAAAGAAAGTCAATATAACTGGCGCTGGTTTCGTATCCCTTCTTCTCTTATACCATCCTCCGGATCTGGCCGGTGCCCCTCTCTACCTGGCGGTCCGGTGGCCGGTCCGCGGATCCGTCCTTCGATATCCTACGCTGGTCAACATATTACATTGACTCCTCTCCTCAGCGGTCGGCTCTCGTTGCCTCCTCGCCGCCAATTTTATTCCCGACACTCTCGTACGCTCGTCGAGAGAGAGAGAGAGAGAGACCGTACATGCGCACATACCGGCTAATGTTACCCACGCATCCCGAGCGAATGCGTTTTCTACTGGGTGATCGCTTGACGCGCGTTGAGAAAAGAAGTGCTTCGAGATCGCGGGAGATACGAGGTTTACACTTCATCGAGAGGAGACCGAAGCTCATCTCCGTGAAACGTCAAGCTTACATTCCACGGGTGAAGTTTTCGAGTAGCTTTTTTCTCAGCGTTGGCTCGGCTCGACACAGGTGAAGCCTGGTCCAAGCGGCTCCGAGAGCGTGTGTCTCTCTTTCTCTTCCCCCTGTCGAGAATTACATTATGTCACGTAATATATTCTTCTTCTTCTCCTTCTTCTTCCTCTTAATTTGCTCCTTTTTTTCGGCGTCTCCACTTCCCGTCTTCTTTTCTCCTTTTTTCCCTCGTATCGCGGCAATTACACGCCTTGCAAATCACTTTCTGTCACGGTCCGTGAAATTCGCCCGGGAGATTCGCGCGATTCTGTTATCTGCGGAAGGATTCCGGGGACGCGCTTCATCAAGAAACACTTTCTTTTTTGATCAATCGCGCGCGTAAAAATTATTCATACGTCGACATGCTCGTTAAGGAAAACGGTCGTTTCACTTCTCGCCACGAGGGACGTGGTGCCACGTGCGCCGAAAATGCGTCGAACACCCTGTATTCGCGCGTATATCCGGCGCACCTGGCCGCCCTCCTGAAAGTACTCGCCTCGCAAGTGTGCGGGATATTTCGTGAAAATCGATCTCCCCGAGCTCGCTCGCGACACTGATCGCGCGAATATAGCGAATAAATTTGACAAACTCCTCCCGATGCGAGATATACAATTAACGACACAAGCGTAACGATCCATTAATCACGCTCGAGAGTATTCCTAGAAAAATAGTTATGACATTGACCCACATATATATCTCCGTGGAATTAAAAGCGGAGACCGAATCTACTGGTTCATGCTAATTTCTGTCACGACGATTCCCAAAATGACGCCAGATTTCGGTCGTTAGATAAATCTGCGAAAAATTTCGCAAATTTTGGAAAATTAGTCAGAAAGACCTTCTGTGTCTCTCATACGGAGAGAATGTTACACTGAAATTAATGTAACTTTGTAACCCCGGGAATCACACGTCGACGTTTAGGATAATTTATTATCCTTCCGTCTCAAACGTACCATTCATAATCGACTCTACCCTTTGCACTGCTAGAAAACACGATAGAATTCCTAAGAATGTCGCATGAAAAATAGTTACATAACATTCTCTCCGTGTATTCGACGCGAGGAAACCTTGTCTTTTCAGTCAGCCTCGATTAGAGGCCAAAGATAATTGGCCCCCCAAAAAAGACAAATCCCTGCAATTCGTTCACGGAAAGAGACGCGAGGCTGCTTCGAGTCAAACCCGGATCCCAGTTGCCCGGGTGAAATACATTTTTTCGATTTCGAGCCCGAACGGTCTCTCGAGAGGTAAGTCGGGCGAGTCGGGAGTGTCGATCGCGATAACAGCATAATCATCGTGAAAATCGCGGTTTCGCAAGTACGCTATCGACCGGTAAATACCTCCGTCAGAGATCGAGAAGGAGTCTGAAGGGGGGGCCGAGGAGGGAGGCGGACGTCATGACCATGACAGGATGATCCGGGTGTCCCAACACCCGAAATGAGTCGACCCGTCCCCACTCCCCCGTCGCGTGTGCGAGAAGAACAAAACCAAATCTAAATATGTACACGTAGGTGGACATCGGAATCGTCGCTGCCGCCTCCTCTGCGCTTCTCTCTGCAGGAAATTCCACGAGATTGGAATGCCGTTAACGCGCTCGCTATCAATTGGTCGTGTGTCACTTTCTATCTACGACACACGCACACAGCCGGCATCTCTTTCTCTCTCTCTCTCTCTCGCCGTGCGGGAGATTAGCATAGCGCTTTCCATAAATATGAAAGATTACCCGCCGCGAAAACACGTCCGCTCTTTCCCGACGGCTCGGAACGAACGTCCTCGAACGCCTCCGGACGTTATTGCACATTTCGGTATGCAGCCAGGAGATCGAGAATATTTCAGACGAGGCATCGCGGATTTCGTCAACGGGCGCGCGCGTGCGAGCCGTCGTCGTAGTTTGGAAACTTCATGAATAAAGAAGTGTGAAGGAACATTTTCACCGAGCGAGCGAATTACCGAGTTGCGGAGGAATTCCGAGGAGTGACGCGAGGGTGTGACGCACGCCGCCTGTAAAAAATCTCGAGGAATCCCAGGCATTTTCGGAAAAAACCGAGATGCGATTTCGATATTCCGAGATGGGGAGATACCGCCTGTCGCGTTCGCGATGTTATTGCGCCGGGGATATTGTATCGACAGATTCCAGGAATATTAAGTATCGCGCACTCTCGAATAAATCTGATCATCATGCTAATGTAGCGTAAAAGTATTTCGGATATAGCGATATACATATCGGATATCGCCGAACCATATATTCAATGGAAAGTGGCGAGTTGAGATGAAGGCAAATACGCGCGGGCAGGAGATTTCGAAGATTTCTTCGAAATGAGAGGCGAAGAAGTGAGAAGCGAACGGGGAATAATTTCTGCCTGTTGAAATTTATCTTTCGGAGTCTCTGCATTATTTTCTGTACTTCCAGAAAATTATACGGCACGATATGAGCGTCAAACAAGAGGCAAAAAGGATGGAATCCGTGGAAAAAAGGATCATACGTGAAATTTGCCGATGTATGATCTTATATATATAATCATGTATATCCATAATGAAAAAATACCGTTGTTCACGAATTATATGCAAATATGATCGAGATAAATGCTTCTGGCTGCTTGTGCTTCCAACAGCACGTGATATCGGCATTTGATTAAATTACGTAACATCATTGCTTTTCGTATAGACGTATATGATCATGTATGTAACCACACATATGAGCAAAATTCATGTATGATTTTATATAATTATATATAATCATTTTTCCCCGGGATGGAGCTGCAGAAGGGTTCATAAATAAATTACAATAAGATCTTTAAATTAAAAATAACACTAATTAGACTATAATTAATGCGTTATTAATATTGCATATACACACAAGATATGTGTGAAAAAATTAGTACTCTAACATTGAGATTAATATAAATTTAATATCATATAATATTCATTTTATTACACAAAAATAATTTGCAAAATATTTTTTACACATATCTATCTACACGTTGTATTTAAAAGGAAATCGGTCTGTTTACTATGAGAGAAAGGGAACTGCTTTTACACTGCGCTATATCACAAGTTGTCAAAGGTACCTTAATTCACTAAGGTACGTGTCAATTAGATATTAACTATGGCGAATGAACACTTTCACGCCAAATTTCACTATTATACTGAAAAACTCTCGCCACATCCGCACGTCCCTTTGATGTTTGGATTATTGAATATAAATTCAGAGCTCAACTTATCCTCGACATAATCCATCTCTGTTCCGAGAAGCGACAGTTGCGCCTTCCTGTCTATAAACAAGTGAACGCCGTCTTGAACCACCTCCTCGTCGAGTTTGGACTTCTCTTTGGTATATTCCAAGGTGTAACTCAGACCGTTGCATCCACGTTGTCTTACTCCAACCTTGAGACCGATCTACGAATTGAACGAACATATACGCCTACGTTAATTTTAATATATTAAGAAACCAAATAAATGTATTCGCTTGGGAAACTCATCGGACGCGCATCCTCCAGAAATATTAATGTACAAAATCATTTGCATCATCTCAAATACAGTTACGTATACGCATGCTTAATTTTGTTCAAATATCCTTATATTAGATGCGCACTTACATATTCATTCTTGTCTTTCAAAAGATCCTTAATTTTGTTGACGGCGCTGGGTGTCTGCAAAATATAAAACATGTTTCTTCATTTCATCGGTATTTACATGGAAATGTATCCTTGATAAAGAAAGGTTATAAAACATGGACGTGGGCGTGTTGCAACATTACGAAATAACGTAAATGCGCAAACGCATAGTAAACAAGAATCAAGACGTTCTTCGCACGAACCATCAGCGTGAAACTTAACTTAGCCGTCAGACGCGACTCGTTTGACGGCTTTCGACACTCCAAAAATATCGAATAAATCGGACAAGGTGCACAGATGACTTCGGAAAGATATGTGTAAAGAAAGAACGATGGCAATATTGAAATAAATAAATAATAGGTTCACCAGAGTAAGCGCAGCGCGTGTCGCGAGGATCTTCCTTCCTTTCACGGCTCGTACCGTCGCGGATGCTAACGTGCGCGACGCCATTTTTATGACAGGGCAAGGACGAACTCGGATCAGCTGAGCGGGGTCTTACGTAGATAGAGGACGCCCGCATCAGCTGATCAGCTGATAGTGTATATGCGACTGTCACGACGAACGAACGAAGCGACTTAACTGAATAACTGAATTCCAGAGGTCGTTGGGCCGCTCGCCGAACGATCGTAGAAATTAAATCAAAATAGACTTTTTTCCTCGGATGCGAATAACGTTGACATTTATTTAGAGCGTGAGAAAGCTCAAATTCGGGAACTTTGAGAATTTTAAATCGGCGAACCGCATCGGCCAATCGCAGCCGAGAGTCATTGAAGTTGCGCCTGGAAAGATATGGCGCTTGAAAATCGCTGGTAGTCGCGACTCTACAAGTTCAGGTGTTTCCAGACTGCTGTGCGGGCAAACGTGATACGAACAATTCATCGTTACCCTGGGATAAAGGGAGGCGATATTCACGATGGTAAAGCGATTGAGATTTTAAATCGTATCGCGTTATATCTCGACTGCTTGATTTGATAATCGTGCGACTCGGTTCGTCTAACCGTGACAATTATAGCTCTGTTATGCGATAAGAATACGAATAATTAAGCTTACTGGGCATCGTGTTGTGTCAACGTGTAATTACCATCTGCATTTATCTTCTTTTATGAAATATTCATTTCCGACGATGTGTGTTCTTCCAGCATGGTCGAGTGAAGGTACGTACTACGGCAGAGCAAGAGGAAATACAGAGGAATGAAAAAGCTGCTAAAGTTGCTCAATATAAAACTAACATTGCCATAGTATTTCAAAAGGTAAAGCATTGCTTTCTCGCGTAATTTAACGCGATGCTTCTCGTGTACGTACCTTACATATACGTTCATTACGTTACTTTTGTTTCAGAGGAGGGATGAACTTTGGGACGATGAATTGCTGTCAATTACCAAGCACATGCTGTTGAGCAACCCTGATATTTACACATTGTGGAACATTCGTCGCGAAGCCTTCGGAAAGAACAAATGGTAATGTTTCGTTAATATTCTCGACAAGCGACAGCGAGTGAGAACTGAAGTAACGGTGAAAATACAGGAGCGAAGAGGAGTACAAGCAACTGCTCGAAGATGAGATGAGTCTGACCGAGAGCTGTCTCAGGGCGAATCCCAAGTCGTACAGTGTGTGGTATCAAAGATGTTGGGTGATAGAACAGAGCCTTGAGCCTAACTGGAAAAAAGAATTGGCGCTGTGTGCGAAATGCCTAAATCTGGACGAGAGGAATTGTTAGTATGCAAAATTCTCCATTGCTCTATACACAGTTTATGCTACACACTGTACCAAAGGTGGTGAATATTTTCATTTTTCAGTATTTAAAATAGCATCAAATCACACCCTCGTCCTTTGCCCCGTCACTTTCATCTTTGCCTTATCAATTCTTCACGTATCTTTTCGTTGCAGTTCACTGCTGGGATTACAGGGAGTTCATCGTGCAGAAAGCAGGGATCTCGAACGAGGAGGAACTCGAGTTCTCCAACACGAAGATACTGAATAACATCTCAAATTATTCGTCTTGGCACTACAGAAGTCAGATATTATTCAAAATGTTCGGCACCGCGTCGGAGGAGATGCCGATCGTCGACGAGAAGTACCGAGAGGGTAAGTTCTTTGTGCGAGAGTCACTTCTCCCGCCGTTCATCGTAGTGCATTTCGTCGAGAAAATGACAAAAACCGATATACACCACATGCACAGAGCTCGACCTGATCATAAACGCGACATTTACTGATCCCAACGACACTAGCGCATGGTTCTACCAAAGATGGCTCCTGGATAAACACGTGACTGCCTGTCGGCTGTGGCGCGCTTACGTTAATGACGACACCGCTGTCGTTGTTCTCGACAACAATGTGCTCATCAAGCCGGTCTCGCTGTCGTTGCTTGTTAACGGCGAGACCGTCGATGTCCAGTGGCAATTGTACCCGGACGAGAAGTTCGCCAAATTACGAATCGCCAAGTTCGCTGGTCCGTTGCTGGAGGACTCGAGTCGTGTTAAAGAAATTTCTATAGAACTGCAAAAGACGAGGTATCAACTGTGCTACTCGAAGTCGGAACGAGTCTGGATTTACAAGGACAATTCGAGGCTGCGTAAACACGATAGCAACGACGAACAACTGAACGAACAGTTGAAGAACTACAACCAGCTGTCCGAGATGGAGCCGGACAACAAGTGGGCTCTGTTGACAGAGATACTTCTTATGAAGAAGATCGATATTTCCAAGTTTTACAGCGATATTTTAAATAAGCTGGTGACGCTGTCGAAAGTAGACTCCTTCCGCTCGAGTTATTACAAAGATTTGCGTAAGTACGACGGTGATTACATTGACAGTGACGCTAATGATGGCATCGAGCCGTAACGCACACAAGTGTCGTGCGACTGTCTTCGGCTGGACTGGACGCGAGCCGACGTATCCGCTGTTTCGCTTCCCCGACAACTATTGTCAACCACGACTATTACTACAGCTGCAAGTTTGAAATTGAGCGGTCGTCATTTTTCGTTTAACTCGAAATATCTTGACGAAAATTAACGACAACATTAATATAGGTAATGATGTGGTTAGAGACTTCGAGCTTTAAAGTGCTTTTTGAACGATCTCAATAGCATTATTATTGCGGAAGTTACAGCTTGTTGAATTTCGTCTATGTTTTATTACAACGGAAAGTACGTCTGACTCCATCGTTTAGTCATATCACGACCTCAGTTTCTCGTTAAGTATAGTGGAGGCTCGTAGCGAGAATTCTGAAACTAAATTTCGAAAATAACGGGTCAAACAATCCCGAAAACCCATTATTCCTGTAATTGATGTTATTAATATAACGGGTTTTCGGAATTATTAAACTTGTCAAGCGTACTTCTATTTCTCAAGTAGTATGACTCAAGGATTGGTCAGAAGTACTTTCCACTTACTAATAAAACATAGGCGAAATTCAACAAGTTGTAACTTCCGCAATAATGATGCTATCGAGATCGTTCCACATTAGCTATATTAATGTTGTCGTTAATTTTCGTCAAGATATTTCAAGTTAAACGAAAAATGACGACCGCTCAATTTCAAACTTCGTCTTTCAGTTAAGTTTTCAGAGCGAAAAATTATTCGATTCAAAAATATGATACAGGCGTTTTAAAGAGAAAACTTTAAACTTCTTACGTATTTGCTAACGAATGCAGTCTTGCCGACGAGATAGTAATAGATTAAATGATTAAAAATAGCTGTCGGGGAAACTAGACTGTTGGCTTGCGTCGAGCCCAGTTGAAGACGGCGACCGCGCGATGCTTGTGTGCGTTATGACTCGGTGTCATCATTGGCATCACTGGTTAAGCATTTGTACTTAAAGAACGCAACTGTGCGATTATTCTCTATCGTCCGTTCAGCAAAGAAAGCGCTTCGTGATTATTGCTTCTGATTGATTCATTCTCCCAGATTTACAGATCTAAAGGAATAATCCGATGAATAAAATCACAAAACGCTCAGCAAGCTGCTTTTTCTGCTGAATGCAGGCAATGACGACCCGTGATTACAGGAAGCAGACTCTTGGTGGAGCACAAACTGAACGAAATCTGGAAGCAGGAAGGCGACTCGGAGGTACAGTTGAAAGTGGACTTGTCGGGATTGGGCCTGACGAGTCTACACAATAATCACTACTTCGGCCTCTTCGAAGAAGTGAATCTCGGTGCCAATCATTTGAAGGACCGCCTGTATCAGTTCTCCACGTTGCAACGGTGCACGAAACTGTCACTGTCCGGCAACGACATCACGTCGTTGAGACGTTTTCCCACAGCACGCAGTCTCGAATTTCTCTCCGTGAGGAACAACAAGCTGACGTGCACGGAGGAGATACTGGACTTCGTGAGGCGGCACGAGAAACTGAAGAGGCTGGACTTGCGGGACAATCCACTGTGCGAGGTAATCGACACTACAAAGATTCGCGAGGTGAACCCTCGCTTGGAGGTATGCTTGAAATAACGTTTACTATGTAATTATCGAAATTTGATATGTTCTATATTAAAATGTATTTAATAGTAACTCTCCTTGCGCGGTTTGTCATAACGGTTATATATATTACGGTATATCCTACCATTTTCTTGTTCCGAACCATCAGCGACCATCAAATGAAAAAGAAACTCGAGACTGGTAGAGCGTCATCTTTCGCGTTCCTTTATTTCCATTCGCATAAGAGGACTGTCTACGCCAAGACGTTCGTTATCTCGTTCCGCGTATCTACAAGCGGTTCTCTACGTACGGACGAGCGAATAAAAACATGGCAGAAGACTGAGGGGTTTCTTCTCTCGTTTTCTAATCGAGACCGCTACCACGATGACTGAAATCACACGACGAAATGCTCCCGACGAGGGCGCGAGCTACAAGCAACCGAGTTATTACAATCCTCCCTAATCGGAACTCACTACATGTTCTGAAAGTAATTGGAGTAGCTGTCTGTATCCAAATCCGCCGAGGTTTTCGACGAGTCGCCGGTGTTGCAGGGGATCGTCGGTATGTGCGATCCCTGGATGGTGAAACCGTGGTAATCGTCGGAGCTGATCGGCTTCAGGGCCGGCGGGAGATTCGCTTCGGGCGTCGGGCTCTCGTCCATCAAACTGTCGGCCGTGTGTTTCTTGAAGAGCTGGCCGGTTTCGCCGGTCGCGAGATCCGACTGGGTGTCCAAACTGATCAGACTAGTCTCGTCCTCGCCTCTGCTAACCTCCAGACTGTCGTCGCCGATGAAGGACGGGAAGTCGAACGTCGGCGATGGCGTGACGGAATCTTCCACCAGGGACGTTCTCATCAAGTCGCTCGAGAGGTCCGTTATCACGCCGCCGTTCACGTTTTCGCCTGCGGTCGACTGCGGATATATCTGTGCCGAGTGAACGCGAATTAATGACGATCGAGAGATAAAAACGCTCATTTCTCTCCGTCTCTCTCTTACCTGTGGAATAATCGGCGGCGGTAACTGATAACTCTCCACGTCCTCGCTGTCCAGATTGGTGGGCACCCTTTGACTGTGAGTTATCAGCAGCGGCGTGCGATCTATCACCTTATTCACTTCCTCTTTGATCTTCTCGTTGAAGTCCACCATTTTGCTCTTCAGTTCCTCCGCCTGCTTCACGATGTCGGTGTTCCTCGCTTGCAAATCGTCCAGCAGCGTTATGTCCTCGCACATGAAGTGTAGATTCTGATAATTGAAAACGTCGTAAACCGTTCGCCGACCATCGAGATAAGATAACAATCGAAATCTCAACATTACCTCGCATATCATGAGAGCCGACTGCCATGTGTTAGCCGGCACGCATTCGCCCGACATGTACGCGTTGAAATCCTTCTCGGCCATGTTCAGGGACTCCGCGGTCAGGTTCTCGATGAACGACACCGCGCAGCACTGCAACGTCGCGCGAATACTCGGTCAGAGAGAAGGTCGGGGTGGGATTTAGAATCAACTCGCGAGAAGTCACGGGAGCCGCGCGAAATCATACCAGATTCGTGAAGTAATATCCGCCTTCCCCGGTCATCAGCCTACTGGCGTTGCAGAACCTCGTGATAAAATTGATGTTGCTTTTGAGCCGCGCGGGATTGGCCTTCAGAACGATGAATATGAGCGCCGGCAGGAATTCGTCGGCGGACGCCGGCCCGTCCACCGACTGTTGCAGCAACAAGAATATATTTCTGCAGCAGTGAATAACGCACGCCAGTTTCTCCTGGGGCGCCTTAGCGGAATCCATGTTCAAGAGATCTGAAAGAAAATTCGGAGCTGTTTCCCGTGCGGTTGCGAGATCGCTCGATAAACAACCGAACCTGTGATAGACGTATACACGAGCTCGCGAACTTCCGAGCTCGTCTCGTGGATCCTGCATTCCAAGTTCTTGCCGCTGACCCAATTCAACTGGCGTATTCTGCCGAGGGTAGTGTCATTTAATTCGATTTTCATTCGAGGCGTACATTTCACTTTAACGCCTCACCCGAATGTTGAAGAGTAAAACTCATAATGACAAGTGTAATGCAACGCAATGTGATTAAACGCGTGATTCAATCTTGGCAATAATCACTGTGACTAAATCATACACCATCGGGTAAGTCGCTGTTTTTCTTTCTCTCGCAAACGGGTAGTAGTTTCGAGTCGCTTCGAAACCGCGATACAAACCTTTTCTGTATAGCCAGGTCTTTCTCCTCGTCGGTTGTGAACGGGGGGCAGAAGAGGATCCTGTACAACAGAGTCATCGCGTATCTCTCCACGTAATCCAACAACTTTTCCTTGATCTCCGGTGGTATATCTGCAACAAGATAACAGGTGAGCTCGGACACTTCCTTCGAGATATTCAGCTCTATAGTACGTTAGAGTGAGTTGGAGCGTCCCATTTGTAGAAAAGGATATCCATATGCTAGATGTGCCCTTATCTTTGTCACAGCAATGTGCACAAAAGAGAGACAGATGTTCCTCTGATCTATTTATCTACTCTTTTCTCCATCGGGTCGCAAATGTCTGTAGTTTCATATTTTTTACAGTTTTATACTTTTCTATAGTTTAATAATTTGGTACAGGGAAGACTCATTCTAATATACTATCCACGCAATGCTTCGAATACAATGCGCAAGTCAACAGAGCAAGTTAGAAAGTTAGAAAGTTGGAACCTGCATATTTGGTGCTGTTCTCCAGGCGTTTCCCGAACACATGATAGAAATTCTGCGTTATTTCCGACAATTCCTCTATCCTCTTCACATCCTTGTTCTGTAGTATGTCCACCACGAACGAATGTATGCACTTCCTCATGTCCTTCTCCACCGGAGTTTTGGCTATGTCCAACAACAGATCTCGATTCTCAGCCTTGACCTTCTCGAGGTCCGGGTTGTCCTTCAATAATTCATGGTACAATTCCTGGTATCCTTGAACTATAGGATATACTTGAACACACACCGGAGAAAGTAGGAAAAACGATGCCTGGTTAAAATAGATCGTTTATTCGCGCTGTCAAGACGCAACACGACGCATTGCGTACCTTTAGCGACGGGCTTCCTGAAGGAAATGTTCAACAATTTGTACTTCTTCTCCTGCTGCACTTTCTTCTCCTCGTACTTGTGGCCACCGGCGACCGTCAGGCGACTGACATTGTCTCTGAAAGTGAATGACGCAAGTACATTACGCCTCACCACACACACACGTGGAAGAGAGATCGCATGGAAAGAAAACTAGTCTTAAATCAAGAATAGATATCCTCATGTGTAAGCAAGCGATGTTACAATCTTCTTAGAAGATTCTCAGTCTTGATTTGATTTGTATTGATGCCAGTATTACTCGCACTCAATTAAAGATCAAGAATCTTCTAAGAATATTATAATATCCTTGCTTGTATATGAGAATATCTATCTCTAATCTATCTAACATCTATCGTCAAGATTTGAGACTATTTTTTTCTATGCACGCGAGGAAATATTACGTGTCCGAAACTTGCGCGTGAGAGACGCGCTCGGCCTGGGCGCGTCGTTTCTGCAGATGCTCCCGATGGCACTTGCTGCAGTAGCCCTCCCATTCCGCGTTGCCGTAGAAACCGCAGCCGTTCTTGCATTTGAGATCGGCCTCGTCGATCCGCAGGCTCGGCGTCTTCGTCGAATACATGCTTCCGCGCGATCACGTTGACAGCGTAGATGATGCGACCCTAACCTGACTTAAGCTAACCTAACCTAATTTCTACGGAACATCGAACGTCGAACTTTAATCCCCATCAAGATCGGACGTCATCCTCGCTCCTCTCGCGATCATGAGGGCCGATGTTGGGCGAGAGCAGAATATGCGATATCGTTTCCGCAGAGAACGAGTTGACAGGACGAACTGGACGACAGCAGAAAGCAGAGCGAACTATGCGACGCGGGTCGAAAATCGAGGATAGATTAGAGGCACGGCGTTAAATTCGAATCGCGTCAGCTGCGGATGATCGAAATTTAAATGCCCGACGTTAGATGACGTTCGAGTTCACCACGTGACCCAGCACCTGCGGGATGCTTCCCGTCTTCACCGTGAATGAACGTCCGACGAACCGTGAACCGATGTTATTTCTTTGATTACGCTCAAATCTGTCGTACATAATTTATTGCGCACACTTTGCAGAAGGGATTGCTTCATAGAAAGATTTTTCTCATCTTACTCGTTCAGTGAAAAACAAGTCGAAATGAAATCGAAATTATATCGAAATTTGGACATTCATGTCGGTTTATTTAAGATAACTCGAAGATAAGTCGAAATTTAAATGAACATGTCGAGATTTTCAGAAAAGTATCATGTCTGAATGTTTCAAATATCTCTTTTTATCAATTTTAAATCGTATCATTCGTGAATATGTTGTGCGTCAAGTGTTCGATGTTAAATAAATAACAATGATTCTTTTGGGAAGTCACATATATTTTACTTATCTCACAATTAAAAGCCTATTACTAACTCAAACGATATGGACTGTCCTGTGGACGTCTTCAGAATGTTCCTAGGAGATCTGTGCTATCTGGGTAACTCGTGTGGTAACGAAATGAACGGTTCAGAAATCGTCGTGATGTCATTCGCCAATTACTGCGAATACCTCCTGCGTTTGAAGGAAAAAATCGGAAATACATGTCGCGAATAAAATTAGCATCCCAAGGCCAATGGTATTGTACGCCAAACACGAACACTTCTAACCAACACATTCAGTTGCTGCTATGTAACTTGGAAATAAAAAAATCATGAAACGAAAATGTTACAACAGTTATATCTTGTGATTTACAATTTTGTGATTTTATCATCTTTTTGTACAAAAACTGCCCGATCAACACATTCAACTGCTGCTATATAACTTTGACATGAAAAATTATGTAACGAATATGTTATAATAATTATAGGACGGTATTTATAGTCGAATCTTGCATTTAAGACCGTCTTAAATTCAGGATTCTCAATCAATTCTTCGAGTGTTTCGTAGCCAATAAAACGAACCATACGGCAATTGAAGATGAACTTGAGACTTAAATATAATATATATATATATTGCATCACAAATACGCTCACCAACTAGGAACACATTTACGCATTTTATTCACGTTTATCGTCACAAATAAAATATCTCCGAGTTTGAAAAATAATTATAAAAATTTACGTCGCATTGAAAATTATCTCTTATTTATCAGATATTCTTTTCTATTGAAGAGAATGATACATGCCGCCTGTGAATCATGCAGTCACGAGCAAATGGAAAAACCCTAGTTATTGTGAGGGAATATTTGTTGCATATTCTATAAATATCATCATCTCATGAAATGACGTGCAAATTGAAATAAAAACTGCATCGTTCAAAAAGAAACCAAGCCAGCTTGGTATAGAAGGAAAGCATACTGAAGCTTCTACCGTGAAATGACTCATCGAATCGACGTCAATTCGATGTAATTTCGATTGTTTCGGCGTCGATTTGACGTCAATTTCATGTCGATTCGACACACATTTTTTGGTAGGCAAACCCGATGAGTCTCTAAGAAACATAAATCAACATAAATTAGCATTTCAGTTAGTTAAATAGAAGCTTCGTCATTTGTCTTTTTTTAGAATATTATTTGCAAAAATTGCATTACATAAGAATGGAAGTTGCATTGTGGCCTCCCCACTAAAATAGATTTAAAAAATTGATTTTGTTTAGAAAAGTAATATTTTGTTATAAATATATATATTTATTCAAAATAAACTCTCTTAGGAGGAACAACAATGAATATAATCGTAAATTTTTACAGGTGCCGATTTTTTTTACTTGTTAGGAGGCAGATAAAAACTGTCAAAAGTTTAACTCGGATTATCGAATCATTGACTTATCAAATAACTATGTTCACATATGAAAATCCCGAAAAAGAGGATATATCAAGTTTATTTTAGCAGAAAGTCGCATTAGCAAAAGGCCATACTACATAACAATGAATAATATATTGTTTAACAATACTCGTAAATAATTTGACAATAAATAACTTGAAATGTATGCAGCGAAGTAAAATTTAAATTAATTAAAATCGATTAAAGTTAAATAACGTCGAAATGAAACACTCGAGTATATATATACATATATCAGTGTGATAATATACTCATGTTTAGAAAGAATGAGGAATATATGTATGATTAAATACTAAATATTATATTAAATACTATAAATAAATACTATATTTTGAAAACGTTCCGAAAGTAAAAATGCGTTATATCCAATGCCGGCTATTATGTATTGGAATATTAGCACTACTAACAGCAGAGCTATTAAATAAATTATTACATAAGTAATCAATAAAATTTGCCACTTAATAGCGGAGATATAAAGAGGAGTCATTATTTCTATTCAGTAAACAAGAAATGATTGATACGACGTTGTCACAATGATGTATAATTTTAAAGGAGGAAATTCGAATTTTTTCCATTTTTCTTCGTTTTTTCGCTTTCTCTCCGGCAATGAATGGAAAAACCCCAGATTATTCTATTTTTCCGCATTGTTTTCGAGAAAAAAGGGAAAAAGCAGTTTTTTTATCTATACAGTGATGTCCTACAACATGTAATATTTTCAAATATGTAGTTCTTAATGAATACAATGTCATTGTTAACAAGATTTGATCCAAGTATTAAAAATATTTCTACACTGCGATTTTAGTATTTAGGAATATTGTATTATCAACAGTTTTATTATATTAGTAATAGTTCAAAAACATTTATAATTGTAAATTATGTCAAAATGCGTTTATAAAATCCACATAAAATCGATATTTCGAAAGATTAAAGTGATTAAAATGTTTCTTGCTTACTGTATATAAGGGCTATAATAATACCATCAGCTCCTCTACAGACAAGTCAGAAATGTCAGAAACGCTCCTCTCCTGTTGAAAAAAAACCAGGTTAAAATCCATATAGGAAATCCATATGGAATTCGACGGTTGACCTTGATTTCCTCCGAAAACTCGGATCCTAACCCAGGTAGAAATCCACGTGGATTCCTATATGAATTTTCACAAACCACGTGGATTCCTATATGGATTTTTACTATCTCTGTATGGATTCACATGAGTTCCATTGGATTTCCGTGAGAATCTAGCTGGAAATTTTCAACAAGTTTACACACACACGCACTCTTCGAAGACACGTGCTCGCGAACGTGGCGACGCCGCTCCCCAAACCTCTCCTCTCGTGCGCTCACGTGTCGCAAATCGCCGGTGTCCACTTCGCGCCATTACCGGCCAATTATCGTAGAACGAGGAGCGAGGAAAGGACTGCCACGTTTCGCAGGAGAGCGCCGATTACATCTGTCCCAACGACGGAGCGTCAACGGGAAAAAGAACGAGGAAAACAAGAAACGGAAAAGATAAAAAAAGAGAAGCGAAGAAGAAGAAGAGCGACGCTCGCAAAGGGAGAAGCGAAGCGAAACGCGCGCAACGAAGCGGAGATACCGCGGGTCGCGCGCTTTTCGCAAATAACCGTTTCGATTATAATCGCGAGATTATACGTCCACGCGCACACACTCTCAGCCACGTCGTATACTTATTTCCTCGCTCGTTCGTTTCGACGGCGCATATCGCGCGCGGCTGATAAGAATTGAATTCCTGCGCCGGGGTAATGATTGACGTCGCGCCACGGCGGAGGTCAGTACAGGCTACGTTCGTCTAGTAGTCGCTTCCCACGCGCCACAACTGCCCCGACGACGACGAGGAGGTCTTGCGCAGCACCAAGAGGTGTGTAGCCGATTCTATTGTCGAACTAACGGCCGGCCGGACGCGGATAAAAATGGCTCGGGTCCATCTTTGAAAATCATTTTTCTCGCTAAAATCGCCTCAAATGTGACTTTTCCAGCTAATCGGGCCGCTTCTGAGCCATTTTCAAAAGCACTTTTATCGATAAATGAGTGAGTTCAGAATATGGAATTTAGTTCGCACCGATCGTTTAATATGCTACGTATCAACTAATGATTTTCTGTCAGATTATCTTGATATCGACGGTACACTTAAACTTAATTGACGACGACGCACCAAATTGGCGCAATAAACTTCAGGAAGACGCATCAGCTAGGATATCAAGTCAATATTAAGATGATTTGATAAAAAAATTATTAGTTCATATATATATCAAGTATAAACTACCGGTGTAAATTAAGCCAATAACAATTCATTCAAAGATCGTTAGCCGATTTCTCTGATTTTGCATTCTTTTCGTCTCTCTCTCTCTCTCTCCCTTTAGTGTTTACAATTTTTCTCCGGTTTCTTCTCGCCAATACATGTGTGTGTGTGTGTGTCGCCATATATTTGAGTCTCTATTCAGTTCGACTTCCTTTATCGCGCGAACGAGGCTCCTTCAGACTTGTGAATTCCATTTAATTAAAAGCGCGAAATGAAACGCTCGCATCGAAGACTAAAAATATGCGCGAACGTGTTAAATATATAAAAAAACGAGGGAGAGGATAGTCATTTGTGTAAAGTGTAATCCGAATTACCGTTGCAATTTGAAAATATACGAGTTTATTTTGACGTATTAAAAAATAAATATATATATATGTATGTATTAAATATTATTATATTAATATATATTCAATATAATCGTATTACTATATGCTCAATATGTTCTAGTTTAAAATTAAATATATTCATATATTTCGTCGTACGCGTGTCTTATCTTCCAATATTATCTTTCCGACTTATAAACGCGCAGAATTTCTGAAAGTAACGGTGAAGAACTGAGCGAGAAACAGTAGCGAGAGTGGCCGAGAATTACTCGGGCTGATAATCGCATTGTATGATTGTGATAATTGATTATAGACACTTTGGAATCCGCAATGGCGCAAAGGTTAACGGCGTTTACGCGCGATTTCGAGCAACTTTTGACTTTCAACGTTATTGCGCAACTGTAAAACATGCAAGATAAGCGCATCTCGCTCGCTCGCTCTCTTGCTCGCTCGCTCGTCGTTAATCACCTTCGGTATTCGGCATTTGGTAATCATCGCGACATCGCGACCGCCGTCAATGCTCCAGCGAGCGGGAAAAAACTGCGGCGAGACGAAAATCACGGATGGAACCGCACGCGTTGTCACTTACATAATCGTTACATAAATTATTTTTACGCGAGTTCGGCGAGTTTTAACGCCTGAAAAAGCCCGAGTGCGCACGCTCGTGAAATTGAAGAGTCTCTTTTCATCTCTAATGATCGACTCGTTTGGTTTTATGAGCGGTTGATGAAATATCTTTGCTTGACGTTGCGGAATAAAAATGTTGGACGTTCGTAACGAACTGTTGAATACTCGCTGTGTTCTCGCTGTGTGCACGCGCAACTTTCCCAAATAATTCGCCTCGATGGTAATTTCAGACTTGCGGTTTCCTTTAGGTTTTCCTTAGGTTTCATCATCCGATCATTCTCGGAAAATGCATACTCTTTGCGCTGGCTTGTTCATCGACGAATTTATTCATGAAAGTATGTGACACACCGGGAAAAATACTGTAGAAATGGTCACCACAAACGCCAAATCAAATCCCATCGACACAGCGCGAGGCGTTCTGTTTTATTCTTTTCCCTTACGTTTCCAAAAAAAAATATCACGACTTTCCTATCGATTCGTTTCGTCAAACCAATGACGCGAATGACGAAGTTCATTCCTCGCGTTTCCTCGGTGTTTGCTCGGCAATTTTCGATAACATTCCCTCAGGAGGGTTTCGCTTGAATATGCTTTTAAAGATATCAAAGTTATCGTCTTGTAAAGCATTGCTCAACAATGGCAACGTACTTTCCTAAAGCGCTTATCAATAAAATTATCTGCTCGAGCGAATCGGCCAGATCATTCGGGCAAACGGAAATAAATAGGCCTTCTTAAGAATCAACCAAGCACCGTATCATTGGCAGATATCACGTTTACAATCGTTGTTCGTCACCGGTTCGTCTAACTTCATTATTGCGAGCAAACAAACGTGGAAATGAAGATAGATTGCAATTCGCGACTCGATCTAATTAGGACTCGCGCACTCGATCTGCGTCTTAATCCGCATTGATACGCTGCGGCATACATTTCGCACGCCGACAATATCACGCAGTTTATGAATGTTTATACCGATTGTATACAATGCGCAAATAAGTGTTCGTACAGCGGACTTCACAGAGAAAACAAATTTCGCTAGAACAGCAAATGTTTGTCAATATAGTGACAGCAAAAACAATTTGTTTAGACAGCAAAACATTCGCTTGGACAGCAGATAAATTCGTCAAGAGTATTAATTGTCCATACATTCAGCAAATAGCAATTAGTACTCTAAAACAAATCCTTCTGCCGTCCAAACCAATATTTTGCTGTCTAAACAAATTTTTTTTCCTATCACTATATTGACAAACATTTGCTGTTCCAGCAAAATTTGTTTTCTCTCCGTGTTCGTTGCGAACGCCACGTGTTTTGCAAAAACGCATCCGAGGCGTCAGGACGGAACGTCCGATGGAGAAATTTCAACCGACATTTTGTCGGGGAGATACATTCGGAATGTTTGCACAGCCGCCAGATAAAATTCCGATCGACTTCGACACTCCCGTTTTTGCATTTGCGCACGTATTATGCGTTCGATGAATTCAAGATTTGCTGCATAAAACCATGACGCCGTAACATCGTGAGAATTCTGCATCGAGCGTAGCTTTTATTTCGCGACGCTCGAAATCCCGTTTCGAAAGACAAAAAGACCTCGATGACGTTTTATACTCGCTCGTTGTAAATATTATCTTCGACGCACATTTCGATGTAAAATCTCGACCTATATCATCGGATAAACACTCACTCGACGACCTGCGAACTGTAACGTGTCACTGGCAAGTGGGCAATCGCAAAGAAGACGAAAATAAAGGCACGAGATAACTAAGTGAAATTATACGAGAAAAGTCTCTCGGATTTGACGACGATTGATCGCACTGTGCGAGCTCGCAAAGGTGAGGGTTCATGACTCGAGATAACGAAGTAAGTCTCTACCCTCGCGTTTGAGGAATTTACGCGCGCGCGTGTATTTGCTTTCTGCGAAGATAAAATTGCGGGCTTTGAAACATTTTAGACATTCGAAGTTGCGAAGAAAGCCGTCGAAAATAATATTGCGAGTAATAATAAAAATAGTCATAATGTATGTGATTTGATTACGATAATATTAAATGCGTACATTTTTATACTTATTTACTTGTTTATTACGTTAATTTATTTTTGTTTATTTATCTGTTTATTTATACTTGCATTCACACTCACATATATATTTTTTGTGTTTAGCACAAAATTTTATCTTTGAAATTTATCTATATTTTTCTCCACCGTTGTCTTTTTATTTACATCTCTCCGCGTTTTTTCAGTTATACTCTATCATATAACTAAATCGTTTTCCCGTAAATAAACGACAATTATTAAAAGAAAAGTAGCATCGCGTTTACCGCGTTTAATTCTCAACTTGATTTACGAGCGATTTTCGCAGAAACGGTTTTCACTGAATTTTTTTGCGAACTGAAAAGAAATTGAAAAAAACGTCTTTAAATTCTAAACCATTGTATAATATACATTAAATATAATTAAATCCCATTGACACCGCGTGAGGCGTTTTGAACGACGCGCATATTCAAAGCAATTTAAATTAAATGCATTAATGTCCTGCTATTACCTGTGCCTGAACACACTGACAAAGTACCTTTAATTATGCTTAACTTGATTGAATTTCATGTCGCACGTTGACGTAACGCGTTACGAAATACATGTTTAAAGTTCGTCATGCGAGATTTACGTAATCCGTTTTCTTATCGGAGTGATAGTCCCGAGTATTTAGTATCTGAAGCATTGTTTGTTCTATATTGACATTGTCATGACTTTTTCAATGTAATCAAACAAAACTTTCCTTCTCGACGCATCACCAAGATTTCATTTTATATTTTCATGTGCACACGGAGAGAATATAGAATGAGATACACACAGTAATTATGTACCGCTCTGAATAACTTCGGAATATGAGGGAAAAATTTATCCCGCAGAAATTGCTCGTACGAGTAATAAAACTACCGAGCAACAATAATTTATCACTGGTCAATTTATCGTATCCGGTAATTGACTTTTCTGTGAAGAAAATCCGTGGAAAAGTGGTTTTTTACCATTAAAAACTATAAAATAAATATCGGTAAAAAATCGTGACAGATAATCGAGAAAAGATCGTAGGAGAAATAAAAACTTTTTTATTTAAGAGATTGGAATAATTTCTGGATAGTTCTAAAATAAGAAATTACTATACGTATTTGCGGACGAGATTGTCGAACTATTCGCATTTGGAACTCGTATAGATACCACTGAATAAGATAATGTTGATAAGTGCGAATTTCAAATTTGTCGTTGGAGATCTTCATTTTTGATTTTGCATCTCTCGAAAATGAAAATTCCAGTAATAAGAACCCTCATATTCGTGCTTACTCATAGTATAAACGAAAATGCTTAAGCGTGCAAAATGTTGACGCGTGGCTTGGTTATCGTAAAATTAGGTAACAAAAATAACTCAGAAAAGAAATAAACGCGTACTTGCAACAGAACCTCCATTATTTGAATTCGTAATCGGTCGATAACGTCAACATTCTCCATTTACCGCTCAGACATTTTTCAGTCAGTACGATTCCTGCAAGTTTACCGATCGGTAGATTCTCTACTAATTATTTCGTCTACGTGAAATCGACTCTCGCCGATAGATGTTACGTCGGCGATGTTTTCACGACACACCCGATTTCTATAACACATTATGTGAATAACAAATGATGTGATTAGCAGTGTGTGGAAGAGCATTCATCACTGAGAAAAGTCACGTGTAACAACAATTTAAGAGAAACAATGAACGTACCTGTGTATATCTAATCTATCACACGATTGATGCTGATATCGTGAAAAGAATTTGTCGTGTTTATCACGGTGATATGTCCGAGTAGAATTGGTGTTGAGCAAGTTGAACGAAAAAGATCCTGGTCGAAATGGCAGCGAATCACACGTGGGAAACCGAAAATGCGGCAGCAACATGCTCCGGCGTACGTGATTCTATGTGTCATAACATGGCCTCCTCATATTTTGAATTCTGAAAACCATTACGTTGACATAATAAAATAAATTTACAAGTCATTAAAAGTTCGTGAAGAATAATAAAAACATTAGAGCTGTAATATATTTCTGTGACTGACACAGTGATTATTATTCTGCTACTTACGGACTTGCAACTAAAAGCACAATTCTTCAGAAAATCCTAAAACGTACAGGGGACTCAAGAACATATCTTTTTTTATTCTTATATAAATATGTATTTTGTCATGAAATATTTATTGAATATATATTTTTACCTTACTCACCCTTATATATATGCAGTAGTCACAACAGTGAGCAATTATAATCTACATATCTCTGCTACTTATCGCTTGCTGGCTTGCAAATACAGTCACGAATATTCCTTTTGTGTGCAACATAAATGTCATATGGTATCTGAATATTGGCTTATATTTTCAGGCCGACGAAAGCACGCCACTTCTGTCAGCGAGTGATCAAACCAGCATGGCTGACAAGATCGTTGGCGTTTCTCAGCAAACCCTGGTTTCCACGGACGGCCAGCTGTCGAGCCATGGGAAGAAGCTGCCGCAGTATCTGGCTGGTCTCGCAGCAACCCTCGGCGCTCTCGCTGCTGGTATGGTACTCGGCTGGTCGTCTCCGGCCGGTCAAGACGGCAAGAACCTGATAGAGCAGTATAATATACCGATGATCCCGGAGGAGTTCTCTTGGGTAGGATCATTGGCTACTCTCGGAGCTGGAGCGATGTGTGTACCTATCGGTATACTAGCTGACCTGATAGGCAGGCGGACATCGATGCTGCTGATGGTGGTCCCCTTCTGCGTCGGCTGGCTCCTGATCATCTTCGCCAACACGGTGGGAATGTTCTACGCCGGTAGATTCATTACCGGCGTAAGCAGCGGCGCGTTCTGCGTGGCCGCGCCATTGTATACCGCCGAGATAGCCGAGAGTGAGATTCGCGGCGCCCTCGGCTCGTTCTTCCAGCTGCTGCTCACCATAGGCATCCTGCTGACTTACGTTTTCGGCAGCTTTGTCAGCATGCGGGTGTTGTCGATCATCTCAGCTGTGGTGCCTCTCATCTTCTTCGGCGTGTTCTTCTTCATGCCGGAGACCCCGTTCTATTACATGAAGAAGGGCAACGAGGACGCTGCCAGGAAGAGCCTGATGAGATTGCGCGGCCTTTACTACGACATCGAGAGCGAAGTGCAGATGCTGCGCGAATCGATTGAGGAGACGAGGCGCAACAAAGTGTCCTTCACCGTCGCGATCCAATCGAGGGCGGCGAAGAAGGGCCTCGTGATCGCTTTCGGGTTGATGCTGTTCCAGCAGATGAGCGGCGTAAACGCCATCATTTTCTACGCTTCCGATATCTTCGAGGAATCCGGCACAGCCATCAAGCCCAACGTGGCCACTATCATCGTCGGTGTGGTGCAGGTGGTCGCCGTTTTCGCCAGCACCTTGTTTGTCGATCGACTCGGCAGGCGGATACTACTGTTGTCGTCGATCGTGACGCTGCTGGTAGCGACTTTAGTTATGGGGATTTACTTCTACTGTAAACACAACACCGATGTCTTCAACGGCATCGAGTGGTTTGCGATCATCCCGCTGTGCCTTTTCCTAATCATGTTCAACTTCGGCTTCGGGCCGCTCCCGTGGATGATGATGGCCGAAATCTTCGCGCCGGAGGTGAAGGGAATAGCTGCAAGCAGTGCCTGTCTTTCCAACTGGCTCATGGCTTTTGTGGTGACGAAATTTTACGTCAACATGAAGCACGCCGTGGAACCATACGGTACTTTCTGGATATTCTCCGCTTTCTGCGCCATCGGTATCTTCTTCGTTTACTTCTTGGTGCCCGAAACCAAGGGCAAGACGTTGGATGAGATACAGAGAGAATTGAATCAGGGCTGATTAGGTGCTGGAGAAGCTGCGGCTCCCCGATGAAGAATCGATTGTGTACATGTACATAATGTACGTAGTACTTAATGCTCTCCTGTTTCCTCGCCTCATGGTCATCTTCATTAATCGATGTCAGAAGAAATATACAATGTGAAAATATAAGTAAAAAAATCGACTGAACTTTGTGATCGATCGAACAGATTTATAAAATAGTCCGAAAAACTTGTTCTTTGCTTCGATGATGAGTAACTAGTTGTAAAATAGATTTGATGAAATCGTATTTTAAAGATTACTTGTTATTATGTTAATTCTATATATATATATATATATATATGTGTATGTGTGTGCGTGCGTGCGTGCGTGCGTGCGTGCGTGCATGTGAGTATATGTGTGTATAATATTAATTATTAGAGCAAAAGAAAAATGTTTAAAATATTTTATAAATCTACTCAATCGATCACAAGTATCACTTGATGGACATATCTTTTTATTTCAACGTATTTCACAAACATTTTAAGCGTATATTTCCTCGTTATTTTATATCACCAACCAAGCAACATGCGGCGAGGAATCAGGAATTTTAAACGAAGAGAATTGTAAATCGGTAACGTGTGATACGTTGTAACGTGTGCAAAATGTATTTGTAATGTCCACAAAATACTATTTTGCTACGACAGCACCTTTCTCTTTTCAGGGAAGCATCGATATTCAAATGATGCTATAACGATATATATATATATACACATACACAAATGTACTTAATTCTATGTAAAATATATATTTCCTATTCTTTTATAAAATATATAATAAGACTGATTCTTTTGTAAACTTGTATAGAGTTTTTGTTGATACACCCTACAATGGTTACTATTTATGTTATGATACTATATGTATATTAAAAATAATACACGTGATAAGTCTGAACTTATTGCAAAATAAATTACTCAAAACCTGAACCAGTACTTGCATTATTTCTTTAATAAATGTGTCCGATTTTTAGCATGAAATATATGTCTTCTCTGGTTTTATACATTGTAAATATCGCTGACCGGCATTACGTCGAGATCGGAATAATTCCGATCAAATCTCATTTTTCATTTGTTTCTCTAGTACATATTTTCATGGAATTTTGCGCATCAATCTATATTATAGTGAATACTTATTACTATCTAGGTATTCATTGCATTAAACAGATCCTGAATCCGATATTATCAGTTTTATGAGAATTTTCGCTTAAATGACCGCCATTACCCCGTTTTATCCTAATGGTAAGACTATGTAATTACGAATTCACAAAGTGAACTCAGCTTTCTTTGTGTCACCTTACTGTTGTTACTTACTTTGTACAGCTCTACTTGTGTCACCTTTTCTCCCACAGATGTCTACACTGTGAAATTTCGATCGATTTCTCTACATTTCTCTACAAAGAAAAAATATTTAATAAATATTCAATATGTAGGATGAGGAAATAACTATTGCTACCTTGAACATCTTTGAAAATAAAAATATAAAATAAAAATGTTCTATTAACAAGATTAGATAAAGATGGAAACAATTTACATTTACAGAAGGTGTTTAAAAAGACGACCATTGGTATCATTGCAATTTCTCTTAGATAAATTTGTTTTCTGCTCCCATATTTTAAAGATGTTTAAAATGATAATAATTATTGCCTCACCCTGTATAATTGTACAATACTTTCTCTTCCTTCGTATTACACACACACACACACATACACATCGTCAGTGATATATATATTATTTTTATCATAAATGTTATTTCATCATATATGAACAGGCCGAGTGCATATTTTTAAGCTCGCGATAATTATCGTCATCGAAACATAAATATACATTTATCTATGCATGTCACGCGTCAATTATCGAGCCGTAAGACAACACTTTTGAAATCATGTAATAATAGTCGCACAGGATGACTGATATGTGGAAATTTTCTGCATAGAAAAAAATAAAGGCGTACATTTTGCGCCGACTATATACAGCTGTATCGAAGTTATGAAGCAATTTTTATATCAGGTCAATTAGATTTAAAATTCATAATCCCGATCACTTCCTCGACCAGTGATCAATCAAGAGATAAGTGATCGTTAAACAGAACTTGTCCAGATATATCTCGGGAAATTTTTCCAGAAGATTATACAAAAATTACATGCCGATAATCTCTCCCTCTCTCTCTCTCTCTCTCTTTCTCTCCTTTCGGAGGATTAAAGCGTCGAATCACCAGCATCCGCAAGCGCTTTTGCGACGCAGCACGCTAAAATCAACGTTTTTCTCGCGCTCGTCGCGTGGCGTGATCGCAATTTAAAGTGTCGCGTGCATTGTACATGCACGCATGATACGGTGTCGTCGTTAATGGACACCAAGTGGCCGCAACTTGTGCACCTACGCGTTCCTCGAACATGCCCCGAAGATAGAAGTTCTTTTCAGCGGTCCACGCCGCACTTTCTCAGATTCTTCTCTCCTGCTCGCCTCCTGTCCCCGTCAAATCTGAAATACGCACACCTGTTTCGTTCTAAATATAAAAAGGACAAAACATAGTGCAGCAGCTAAAAAAGAGCAGAGATCCAGAGCCATAGGCTGTACGTAACGCTTCTTGAATATGTATCCGATGCGTTCATTGTTGCATTTACGTCAATCTCGACCTTGTCTCGTGAATTATTCATTCATATGTTTATCATGCAGCTAATTAGGCGCGCTCTTTTTTAATATTTTTATGTCAAGTTTCAGAAGGAAAAAGTGGTTTTCCCATCGTTATGCTGATTTCTTCGGATTCTGTTTTCAAGGGTGGAGAAATTCGTTTGGGAACATTCTCACGTACGTGTGTGTTCGGTTAAAACGTTTTTACTTTCTTTCGTCGGTAGAAATAATAAGAAATCGAAAAAATCTGCGGGAAAAATGACACTCGCCGATGTGGCTTCTACCCCGTTGGAACTTGATAATCCTTCCGTGTCTGTCGAAAGATTCTTCCGTATCGATGATGGACGCCACGAGATGCGTGAGAGAAACTAAGTAGAACGTTTGTCTCAGCTGGCACGCTGCGCGTCCGCAGCTGGTGCATCCACGGTGAATGCAACTTAGCTCGAGATAGTACTCCTCATCCTCAAATAGACTCCTCGCATTTATTTTTCCTTCGTCCCTGGCTCATGTCCCAAGTGAAGATTCGGCCAAGCGTGCGGAGACTTCGTGAAGAAACATCAGCGAGGTTCGGCGAGAGAGATCCACGCGGACAACGTTCTCACGGAAAGCGAGTTATGATATTTCGTCATCCGCTCGTTTCCAAAAGCTTCCTGAACCTGTTCCAAATCTTTGTCATCGAAAAGATAATCAGACGACGAGACGTTTCCACGAAAGGAAAATCGACTTGAAATACCGGCTAAAGAGTCCGCCACCGACATGACGATGGCGGGAAATATTGTGTACGCCACGAGTTTCTCAGCATTTCGTCAACGTAAAATAAAATACGCGTACGATTTGACGTATCCAGGTGCAATCATCATGAATTTGAAGGGATTCAGATAGACAAAAAAGTAAAGACCAGTAAACAAGAAACATTAGGTCAGGTTTATGAAACTTTATTTTTATATAAATTGTATAAACATTTTGACTTATTTTACAATCTTGAATTGTTATTAGTTAATATAGTATTCCTGTATATTAAAATCATAGGATTGAAATGTTATCCTTAATGTTTAGGTGAAATATTGTTAACAATGACCTTGTATATAACTTAAGAGCTACGTATTTGTAAAAAGTTACATGTTATAAAATATCATTTTAATAGCATTGTATTAATGATTTCTTGCTTACTAGTAGGTATATCTAAATTTGCTGCAATTTCTTATGTAAAAATTATATTTCTTGTGAGTACTTCATATGGCAGTCATATTTATCACATACAAAGTAAATAAATTTATGACATGAGAAACGACCCACTAAGACTTTTGTGTGATAACTTTACACTTATATAGTAAATCAAATTTGAATAAGATAAATATGTTAAAAAATAATAATAACAAGATGAATATATTAACATATATTTATGTACTTTTTAATATGTTTCCCGTGTTAAAGTAGCGCAAAAAATTTCAGTGGATCGTTTTTAAAATTTTCTACGTTGTAAGATGACGGAATAAAAATATGAAAGTAAAAATCGTTAGAATTTATTCAAAACCGTGCCACGTAAGATGTAACACGATCTGAGAGTATATAAATTTGTATCCGCTAAAGTTCTCGCTACACATATCGAAAGATTGCATCATACATAATGATGCAAAATTTTGCGTTTACCTCAATACAGCATATTTGCTCCAGAAATATGTAATTAAAGCATCGAAAAGTTTCCATCGTCGATTGTCTCACGCCTCTCAATCATGAAAGTTTATCCTGGAAAGTGAGGTTAGGCAATCATGCGGCGTTATTACATTTCATAGGGATTCGAACATACGAAAAAACCCAGATAGCACAGATCTCCCAGGGACGTCCTGAGGATGTCCTGAGGACGTCTATAGGATATCGGGTGCTGTTTGGGAAGTCACAAGTGCAAGATCGAAAGAAATCTTTATGAAATGTAACACAACAGATTACACAGATCGAGACGAAATCAACGGAGACACGAGAACGCGCTTTCAATTTGTTTAATCGACAATCGCAGGATATCGATACCTGGGAACAAGTGATTCGATCGGCGACTAGTTTCAGACGGAGTATGCAGGACGAGCCGGACGAGCGAGCGTGCACACACGTACGGTGAAAAAGGGAGAGGAAGGCCGCGTCGATTCCGACAGAGAGGAAACGAGGGGGCTCGCGTGGTTCGCCGGAGCCAATCAGGATCGCGCATTGTGGTCCGACGCGGTAGCCTGGTGGGGCGGCCAGCTGGTCGCGCGACTCGCGCCGTTGTCACGTTGCCACTGGTCTCGGCTGCGTGATATTCGGCCGGAACCCGCGGATTGCCGCCGGGTGGAGTCGGTGAGGAATATTCGAACGCGGTATCGCGCACCACCGCGTCACTCGGATACGCCGAACACGCGACTCGCGAGCGATAAGAAGCCGCGTTCGATTGTGACAGTTCGTCGGACACGAGAGAGAGAGAGAGAGGATAGCGGCGCGAGAGAGGGGCTGTGAAAAGGAAGGAGGTACGCGTCGGCTGGCAGTTGAGCTTCGTATAAACGCCGGACGCCAAGCCGCCTGCCTCTAACTTCACGTAGCGTTGATCGAACGTTGTTCATCGACTCTCTCGCCGGAGACTCAACGGACTCATTTCCTTCTTCACGGACACGATTCGCGAGGATTCGTCGTCTCTCTCTCTCTCGCTTCACGGTCATCCCGCCGCGACCGTCCGCCGCCACCCTTCGCGCGCGCTATCACTCAGGTGCGTGTGCACTCGCGGGGTACGTCAACATCGTCATCAGCCGAGGTGAGAACGCCGATCGACAGGATGAACTACGGGGACATGTCGAACGTCGATCCCGCTAGGTACGTTTGTTGCTGGTTTACTCTTGTTCGCGTCTCGCTGCATGTCTTCCTCTTTTTTTTCGCACGCATGCTCCGCTTACCACGGCCGGATGTGGCCGATTCCGGAGTTTCGCTCAGGTTTTGTTTCGCTCGCGATCGGCCAGCCGGTTCGACCGCGTTCAGTTTTGCATGACTGAATATGCCGAAGATCGCGTGTTCGTGCTCGAGTGCGCGCTCGTGAGCGCTTCTCGTACTACGGGGTTTAGGCGCGTGTACTTGGTGGTCACATTATTTCAAACTCGTCTCAAGAGAGATTCCCAGGTCCGAGCTTGAAGTTGCACGTGAGTTCTCCGTGCGGTCGCGCTTACTGTGAACATACATCGCGTATATCATGGCATTCACACACAACTGCACTGAGGAAAAAAATGGAAATTTTGCGAAGTAAATGTTTCTCGTGACATTTTCTGTGATATTTATTTAACTGAAATAAACATTTATTTAAATACGGCGAAATAAAATTTTATTCCAACAAATAAACCAATTAATAAGAAAACTAACTAAAAATTATATTTCATAAAAATATATATTCCGTTGTCAGTTGTATAAATAGTTACATTTTTTTTTTTAATTTGAAGTTCTATATTTGAGTGTTTTCATTGAAATCATGTATGCGACATTACATTAGTAAGCAAACTTGCAATTCAGCTGATTCATTTGAAAAACTCATCGTCCAATTCTAAATTCAAATCCGGGTTGTTAACTGAGCCAAGTTTTGAGTCAAATACTCAGATCTGATTTAAAATAAAATGTGAGCTTTTCAGTGTTGAATCATGACTGTAAATGCAATGTCGCGATTCAAACGGAAAAATTCAAATCCAACTCGAAATTCAGATCCCAGTGTCTCGCGTGAGACAGGTTTAAACTAACGATTATTAATACGGGCCTGAGTACTTCACGTGAGACAAGTTCCAAGTAACGACTGGTGGTCGAAGGCGCGTCGCGCAGCGTATCGGACACGAAGGGCTCGCTCCCTTCGTGTTCTTCCGAGCGAGCGAGCGGGTTCTTCGGAACGTCTCGAATTTGTTTTTATTATCCGCACGGTCGCTAAAGCCACGAGTGAAGCGGTTGACCAACTTTCGAGCAACACGTATGTAAGAGCAAGCTAATGAAATCGCGCTGGTACATTGCAACACAATCTTGAGTACGCGCGTACAGGCTTCTTATTGAGACTTTTCCACATGGCGACACGCGCGTGAGAAGTCAATTTGTCGATAACCGAGAATAGCGGTGCTCGATAGATTGCGCCCGCACCTGAGCGCCGCGTTTTGAAATTCTACGAAACGCGTTAGTCGCGCTTAGTCCGAGCTTTTTCGCCGAGCGGCGCTTTTACGCAACGCTCACTGAGAAAAGAATTTGGTAATGAGTATTAAAATTTGTCGGCAAATATTCACCGAATTTTAGTACTCGTTACCAAATTCCTTTTTCAGGGTGCATCTATCGCTCGTATCCGAAATATTCACTTTCCTCGTGAATAGTTTGCTTTTGTCCCGCGATAACGCATCTCTTGAACGAGAAAGAACTACCGAAGAAAATATTGAGACAGGTTCTTCAGCTAGGAAAGACAAATGTTCGAAGGAAAGAAACGTTCTCGGACACGCGCAGCGAGTGCACGTATTTGCGCCCGCGATTTACAAATTATCCGCTAGGTTATTGCAAAAAACTTACTACCTGTGCGAGTAAAATATAATGGCAAAACTCGAGTTCACTGCGGATTACGCGTCGGGCATGATAGTAGACTAGGTAATATTGAATGTACGAGTAACTTGAACTGATAATTAACATTCCACACGCATTTCTTGGAAGATAAACAATACCGACCGGATGAGACCTGAAATCTAACTGGTTTCACATAGCACGATTGTGTTTACGCACGCGATACCGCAGGTTTCGCACGGCGCGCCTCAAAAGCATCAAATATACAAATAATAAATTCCTCAAAAATTAAATTATTACAAGGTCGGTCGGTCTCTGATAACTTCAAAAATACCTCATATGCGGAGGAAATATTCTAGCAAAAATGACAAAATACAATTTTTATAACCGAGGAATATATCGACATTCTGCCTTAATTTATTATTTTTTCATATGTTTATATTTTAAGGATTGAAGTAATATAACCATAAATTCTATATTTTTCAACACATTTGATTCGTTCACTGCCTCGTAAATTCAACCAAACTTTTTTTCCGTGCATAATATGTTTATCAATACTGAAGTGTAAAAGTTACTTTAACATTTACAAATGTTATCTCAACATTTACACATGTTGGGTATCGATTCAACACAAAATATTAAGATGATATAAACGCAATATATTAAGTCAACATATGGGTGTGTTAAAAATTTAACACAAAGTTATTAACATGGACTGATTTTAACACAAACACAGTAAAATATTTTTTACTGTACAGTAAAAAATTTTGAGTTAGAAACAGTTCACTGAAATTTTGTGTTACTTTGACACGGGAAATGTGTTAAAGAGTACACAAATATTGTGTTAAATTAACACGTTCATCTTGTGAACAGATTTTATACCGTGTAGTGGAAAATATGAAAATTCTTTCAAAAAATTAGAAAGAATTTTGTACGAAAGGAAAACAATATTATTCTCTCCGCGTGTAGACGATGAGGGTTTAATCGCAGAAGCAATTCTCGAGCGAGCGATCTAACGAGATTCCGAAAAGACGAATCACGACCCTGGGGAGAGAAAGAGGGAAAGAAACCATATCACATGCGCACAGAATGCGCAAAGTGGACCTCGTTGAGCCTCCTCCCGGCGGGGTGAATTCGGATAGGATTGCGCTGCGGCGCAATTTCACGCGAGGCACGTCCCGTCTTTCGGTCTTGGTCATCGGCCGTAGAAAGTACGACATTAGCAGCAATGACTTTACCGTGACACCATTGCCGCGGCTTTGCCACAACGATCGAGCGATCCCTTCCAATATGAAGCGCGGGATCATTTGTGTGCCGATTCGTACGAACGTCCGAAAATTGCTTGAAAAGCGGACTTTTGCCAATTTGACGAAATTCCAGTATTTTATGAACATTTACACACCGCGACACATCAAAACCATAACTCCACGCGTCTCAGCTAGATTGAATGTAAGTCGAGCGGTATTGGTAAGTTACTCGACGAATTTAGAACCCACACACGGAAAAAAATTATTCTTAAATCAATATTATATATATATATATATATATATATACAGTGGCGGACGTATACTTACGTGCAGTTAGGAAAATTAAGTTTTATTCGTTGTGTACTTATACATGAAATAGTTAAACAAAAGTCCATTACGTTTTCTACAAGTTTATAGCATATTTTATGAGATAGCAAAACAGTGTTTATCGATTTACAACAACTAAGAAGTTTCTTGTATTTGTTTGCTCAAGTGTCATATTTTCTGCGGACACGTACTTACGTACACTGTGGTATTACACAGATAGGTCAAAATTTCTGCAATGTAAACAATACTTACCAATACTCGGTGGGTACTGGTAAGTATTGTTTACATTGCAGAAATTTTGACCTATCTTGAACTTGAGTACCGAGTAGGTAGAGAGACGTGTTGTGACAGTGTTTTGACAGCTGTGATGAGCAAACGAAAGAATATAACGCTAGAACAACGTCGGCAAGTACAGCAGCTTCGCAAAAATGGGAAGTCTTATTGGAAGATTTCTACAGAAGTTGGGATATTTGTTATGGCTTGTTATCAAGCTATACAACATATTAAACGTCATGGAATGTTTCGCTAGATAATGTTCCTCGTAAAGCGAGATCACGGTGAGTTTCGGGTCATTATCTGCTTGATAGATCCATTCTTTCGGCTTTTCGGATATATATATATATATATCCTTATCGATGCTATCGCACTAGCATCTTGACTTTTCCCGTTAAAAAAGAGCAGAGAGTATAGCAGTAGAGTTTGATATCTACGTTATTATTCACGCGTGATACGATGCGTGCGATCGTTTCACGTCTTTAACTAGAGATTCAATCATAGATATCGATGTGTACTTTCCAACGTATTTTTGAGAGATACTAAATGTCCGTGGAAAATGACCGTAAGATAGAACCGTTTATCGCGCATAATCGTTACCACAGCAAGAAAGAAAGAATTAATTCGCCGGTCGGAGCGTTTCCCCTCCTTCCCGGCTTTCCCCGAATAATTTACTTTCTGAAAGTTCATTGACAATTGTCAGAAGGTCAGACAATCGTTTCGACGAACTTGAATGTTGAATCGATGTTGTAACCGTACCGTTTGAAGCGTCGTCGAAACATTTGTTGAAACACTCACGCGACGTTCGTTCTCCATCGTGACTTCGGTGTCGTCGAATGCTCCTGTAAAAATGTAATCGTCCTCCATCGCATTTTCAAGTAACGTTCGAGGATCTGATTAAATTTTATGAATCGCGACGATGCGAGTTAGCAACATAATTTCCCCGTACACAGAGAAAAGGATTTCTTTAAATTTAATATATGTAAGGATATTTATTGTTTGAGAAACCAAATAATTCTATTCGTTGAATCAAACGTTCGTTCATTTGTTTGCTCCATTCCAAAAGACAAATTTGTTTCAATTAAAGAAATTTTATTAAATCCACAGAAATCTTTTTCTCTGTGTACTCTATATACACACATATCGCGATTCTGAGGATCTTTCTTTCAATAATTATATAAACTAACGTATCGACGTAAATAAAGCTGCTACTTTTTTGTGCCTCTTTTCGCTATGAGAAAGAAGTAGGGGAAGACGTAGATTAAAATCACCGAAAGACCATAATTATTCAGGTTTGACGTAAATCGCGCTCGTAGGAAAAAAAATTTATATCTTTACATAATCTTTCTTTTTCTACGCTTAATTAATTAGAAAATTAAACTTGAATATAAATCAAGGTCGTATATAAAAAATATGTTAGTACCAGCTAACCTTGCACCGCGGTTTTGCCGTTCGTAATTG